TACAAGTCTCCTTTAAATCATAAACACAGACACATACATGACAACAACGAAATTACAATGGTTGTCGGTCTTCAGTCTCAGGAATTTATTTTTGATTTCAAAGTAAATAATTCATCTCCATCCATTTCCTCTCATTCTGTCCTCAACGGAGATGAGGAACACCTGGACAAGTGCTCTATGTAATTACCCTTGATATTGCTGAAAGAGTTGTAGTACCTTTTATTCAAGTCGTCCAAAAGCAAAATTAACTTTTTTCTATTACCATTCTGCATACATCCTATTTCCTAAGCCTTTGCTATTTATTTTCAACTTTGGAGTTACCCCAACTCCATCCTATTGAGTAATGACTCTCAGAACCCAAGAGAATAAGCCAAGAGAATACCCAGAGGAAAATAAAATCCCATCAAAAGTTTCTGAGCCTTTTAAAATTTAGAAAGAGAAAAGGAAGTTCTTGACATATATAAGACAATTGAAAACATTAGTCAGAACCATTCTTCTCCTCTCCTCCCTTATATTGATAATTTTAAAGGAAAATATGCTTTCACATGCTTCCTTTGAATTCTCCACCCTCCAAAGTATCAACAGCATGTTTAAAACAGAACAAAATGCAAAACCTAAGTAGATTAGTTTATTATCTTGTGGTATGTGTGCTCTGTCTCCCTCATACACACACACACACACAATTTCTGTCCCTCCTCCTCCCTTCTTATACACAAGTTTCCAAATACTCAAAACTCTTCCCAAGTCAAGGGTACCCTCTTCCAAGATCTTGAGCTTGCTTTATTTGATATATTTTACCTTGTTCTTTATCATAACAATATTTAGTTTACTTTTTCTTCTCCTTTTTGTTTCTCTACTAGATTTCTATTCTGATATTCCTTAGGTTGCGGCAGGAAATATATTCTATTTTTAGGTAAAAGCCAAAAAAAATTACTATTGCTTATTATATTTCTGGTTTCTTGAGATATGGGGAAAAATTCAATCAGTACAAAAAGAGTAAATTGGTATAGAAAAGCCGCATACTTAAAATGGCAGCTGAGCAGAGTCTATGTGTGTTCATCTTATTTCCTGCCACAACTAGCTTTTTATAATATATTTTACAGAAATACCTAAATCATGATTTTACATAGAAAATTATTTGCGAGCCTTAAAAATGTGATTATTTCCAGAATTGTCCATTACCCTTAGAGTATTTTTTTTCCTCAAAGTATATTATAAAGGTCAACTGAATTAAAATGTTGAGGTAGGTAGGTACTATTTAACATGCAGATTCTGGGACACATGCCAGATTCACTCAGTCAGAATATTTGTGCCAGGGCCCAGGGACGCCAATGTTCCAAGATCAACAGTTGGCTTTAAACTCATGTTAATATGAAAACCACTGATGTAGAAGCCATAGAACCCAAGAAAAAATACTCCCTGTAGTTCTCATTCTAACTCCAGACCCAGTGCCAAAATGTTTAAAGCAGATGCAATCAGTTTAAAATGAACATCAAGGGCAAATTTAAATAAAAAATAAAAATTGATGTAAATCATAAAAGATGAGCCTTTCCCCTCCTTTAGCTGGTTGGGAAGTCATCAGTGACTTTTCCTTTAGCACAGGTGGGGGATGTGATCTCTCTTTGTCCCAAAGACAGTTCTTGGAGTCCACATCGTATTACCACTTGTCACGCGGCAAAATGATGCCCTTAAGACGTTGAACTGAGGAGGGGAAGGCCCCAGCGTGTTACATTCCGGGGGGCCTGATGGAGCTGAAGATGTTCGAATCCTAAATTCTCACAGGCTTCATCCTGCAACTCATACAAAGTTGTCGCTTTGCTGGCCGATGTCTGGCACCTGCAAAGATGATCCAGGAACGTCCATGGACTTTTTTCACCATGTTGCCCCCCTCACCCCCTCACGCCGAAGTGCCCCAGTGATGACACGGCCTTGTGTTTGGATCATGCACGACCTCATTTTCCAAAATGCTATCATGTTCCTTGATCACATTGAGATCCAGAGAAATATTATGAGGAGGGTTGGATACATTTTTAGGTCCACAGTGAACCGAGGGACAGATTGGAGCTCAAGAAGGTAAATAACCCATCAAAGTGTTTGGTGTATTTCAGACTCCAGATTAACCCTCAGAGCTTTCGATTTAACTGGGATGCGTCCTCTCCACTCTATAAGGTAACGTACTGTAAAGGAACATGGTATTTGCCTACAGCTTATATATCTTTAAACAAAATAGACATAATTTTATTCCTTTAGCTCATCTCCTTCACTAAAATATGAGCACTGACATAGCAGGTTTTGCCTCTGTTTTATTTCTTTAAATTTATTAGCTAAATCAGTGAATGGCAAATAGTGGGCGCTAAATAAATAAAGTTTGAATATAAATGCCCACCCTAAATAATTGTCTTTAATTTGTCTGACTTAAAGGAACTTTGGCTTTTTTTTTTCACCCTAAAACATACCTAGATTAATTTGAGACCGCTGGAGTATCTTCCTAATGGAAGTTCATAAAATATTATTTATTTGTGGGTTTCTGTTCAGTCGTTTCATTGTTGTTTTTCTGCTCAGGTTCAACATTAATTGTCAACGGAAAATGAACCAGATGCCCTTCTAGGTGTGATGCAAGCTCTAACAAATGAAATCTTCATGACTCAAAGATTAACTGATGTCAAAATTTAGATATAAAAGTTTAACTGCAATAATTTCCAACAGAATCTGCAAACCCCACAGTTAGAGAAGCTAGAGAAATGTGTGGGGGCAAAACACCTAACGAGGTCTGTAAGGTTGATATGCAAGAGAAAAGTTTTAGTTTATTGGAAGATGTCTTATTTTTCTCATGCCAAAGTAAAGCCCAGTGATCTCTAATGACTCTCCATGTTTTGCTGTTATTGTTGTTGTTTTTGGTCTCTTGCATTTCATACTGTGTTTGCAAACAATTACATCAGCCCGTGGGGAAATAGTTTAGAGACCTAACAGCCTTCTCTGAGCCAAAGCCATTTGTGCACAGAACAAATAAACAACAATCAAATGAATATCAACATGTAGGAATATAGCGTAGATGGAAGATAAATCTAAAACCACTAGTGCAAGCTGCCAGTCCAGTCAATACATATGGCAAACATATACCTCAAGTGTACTGTCTGTCATGCACATGCGTTGCTTTTGTAGTTTCTATTTCCCCTTTTATTATGGAAAGTATATATTATTGTGACTAAACACTTCTACTTGGGGAATACAATGGTTTCCAGGTCAATGAAAATGTGAATTCGAATTATTAATCCACCAATTAAGGGTGGAGTAATTTAACCCTGCTTTGACCTTTATCCCTTCAGGTGAATTGATATATTAGAACTGTATATTTTGAGGGAAAAATACTATGGTGAAAAGTACATCTGTATAATACTGTGCTCAATCTTTTTAACAATAGTATTCTTAATGTGTTATTTTGAAACAGTGTGTAAGGATGTGTGTACATTGTATTCTTGTATGTGTGGTGTGATCTTTCAAAAAATGGGATGCTTGGGTGGCTCAATGGGGCGGCTGGGTGGCTCAGTGGTTGAGCATCTGCCTTCAGCATAGGTCGTGACTCTGGAGTCCTGGGATGAAGTCCCACGTCGGGCTCCCCGCAGGGAGCCTGCTTCTTCCTCTTCCTGTGTCTCTGCCTCTCTCTGTGTCTCTCATGAATAAATAAATAAAATCTTTTAATTTTTTTTAAAGAAATGGCTTGCTCTTTCTACCAAAGCATTAGGCTCCCTTTATATTACATGAACATAAACTTCAAGCGTAAATACATTGAGGAACAGTGTCATTAAAGCCAGAAAGAAAGTTTCTAAAGATTCACTTATAGATTCTCATTTGTAAATTCTAATAGGACACCTTTCTTAATAGGATTTTCAGAAAAGGACAAGGGCTGAGAATTTCCTATGCTTTCTTGACCCTATGCTTCAGTAAGAGCTGAATGTGTGCGTGTGTGTGCATGTGTATGTGTGGTGTGTGAAAAGTCTTCTGCTTACCCCAAGTGTGTAAAGACCTAGAGCTGTGAAACATGATCTTTCAACCACCATGCATGTCTTTGGATAAAGGAGGAACTGGTATACCTACAGGAACCAGGCATTTTTCATAAATATATGAGTTAAGATAGCACAGCGGGGTGCATTAGGCTTTGCGCTAATCTATCTGTATGTGTCTATACAGCACTATACCTAGTCTGTATCTATGTCTAGACCCACATCTTCTTTTTTTTTTAAGATGATATTTATTTGAGACACAGAGAGAGAGACAGCAGAGCAGAGAGGAGGGGTAGAGGGGGGAAACAGACTTCTTGAGGAGCAGGGAACTGAACATGGGGCTCGATCCCAGGACCCAGAGATCATGACCTGAGCCGAAGGCAGACACTTTACTGACTGAGCCACCCAGGAGACCCCTTTCTTTTTTTTCAGACCCACATCTGTATCTATATTTGTATGTAGACCTATAGAAACATCTCTAGGTCTACATGCACCCGTCTGTCCTCTATCTCTACCGTCTATCCACCCATCGTCAGTCCTCTTCAGCCTGAGGATCACACAGAAGCCACTCAAGCCAGAGTCACAAAGCTACTTTGCTGCAGAGTTGATAGCCACTCCCCCCCCAAAAGAACCCCAAAGGTACTTTTTCCAATGTGTCACAAGCGTACCAAAAAGATACAAATCAGGCTCTTAAAACGCTTGAAATAGACCCAGTTTCTTTGTATTTAAGAGCACTGAAACAAAACTTACGCTGGCTGATTTTTATTGTTGTCAATTCTGTACTGAATGACCAGATAATCGCGGCACAATTTACTTAATATGAGTAACAGTGTGACAATCTCCATTACACAATATTGTGAAATCAAAGAATTTTGCTGACAACGTGGAGAGCGAACAGTCGTATAAACAATACTTGGTTGAGCAACATCACGATAATCGAATGTTTTAACTGAGTTTTCTGGTAAAGGGCTGTTTTTTCTCCACACTTTAGCCCTTGAAACGAGGAACAGGAGGCCATGTGCTACAGGGCGGAGGTGGTTTCAGGGATCTATGGATCTTTCCTGAGGAGCAGCCAACTCCTATGAAGGCATGAGGCCCAGCCGGCGGTTGACGGACGCACAGGAGCACACACACCTCTCAGGTAGTGAAATCTGGCATATTAAAGAGGGAAAGATGCTTTTACAGAAACCCTTAAAATAACGTGGAAGAAATGAGTATCGAGGACAGAGAGAGTGTTGATGGAGTGTCTTGACTGAAGTTCCTTCAGAGTAGACGAGGAGGTTTCTGCGCTGTAGCCAAAGGAGAGCCGACCGCGATGCGTCTGTGACCGAGCAGAAAAACAGACACGATGTTATTATTTTTGAAGGCTTTTTTCCTCCATGGGTTTTTTTTTTCTTTGAATATTTTTCCTACAGGGTCTGAAATGCCTTGACAGTCGTAAAAACAGTTGATTATTGACCCCACGTCTTATGCTGTTGTTCAGACCACAGAAGAGTTGGCATTCAGAGTAAGTTTGCTCTGATAATCTCTCAACCGAGTTCCTAAGACAGACGCAGCCCCTGGGAACCCGCAGCAGCATCGCACAGACAGGGGAGGGGCCCGCCCATGCCCGGGGACGCGCTCCCGCACGCCAGGCCCGGACGTGCCATCAGACGGTACCTTGGATGCTTTCACGCGTATTTTAGACTTCTTGGCCTTTCAGGAAGATAAAATTACAGAATTTGGGGATCTCAAGCACATTAACGTTCCATTCCACTGTCCCCAGCATTTTCACGATTTATTTACTTTTTTCTTTCAATAGTCTAATCCTCACAGCTCGAAATGATCCGTGGTTTATTCATTTATATGATAAAGCCGTCTACTCCCCCACACAAAATTATCCATTGTTATTGGTAGAATGTAGAGTAATGTACTTTGAACACTATAAAGTGCTATATAAATAAAGATGTGGTGAATTCCAGGGGAACGAAAGAGGAAAGTGGAAATAAATTCCAGAGCGAATTCATAAAGATGATGTATGATTTGAATTGATACCTTTTATACAGGATTTAAATACATGTGTGTTTTTAAATCCTGTACATCTATATTCAGACAATATACTCTCTCTTCTGAGCCACTGATTTTTCAATAAAAAGGCATTTCCCCTCAGGGGACAATAGAGAAATTTTATCCTCTGAATAAAACTATTAGGAATTAATATAATGCAGAGGGGAAGACCAGCTACTTGTGGAAACCTTCCAGACATTAGCCTAGAATTTAGAGTGATTCATAGATATTTCTGCAGAAGCCACATATGAAACCTTAGGATATACAAGCATCTACGGTGAGATCATTCCATCATCTCTAACGTGAGGGCACTGGATTAGAGGGTGACCCCCCAGAATTGTATCCTCACACTGACACCAAGTGCAAAGAGAGAGGAACACAGGCGGGGCTTAGCGATGGAATGCAGGAGGCAGAGGCCCATCTGAGGCGAGCGCTAAGGGCAGTGTGTGCAGTGTGTGCGCTGCAGTGTGTGCAGTGTGCGTTGCAGTGTGCACAGTGTCGTGTGCATGCTGCAGTGTGTGCAGTGTGCGTGCTGCAGTGTGCAGTGTTGTGTGCTGCAGTGTGCAGTGTGCGTTGCAGTGTGCATAGTGTTGTGTGCATGCTGCAGTGTGCTGCAGTGTGCGTGCTGCAGTGTGTGCAGTGTTGTGTGCTGCAGTGTGTGCAGTGTTGTGTGCTGCAGTGTGTGCAGTGTGCGTTGCAGTGTGCACAGTGTTGTGTGCATGCTGCAGTGTGCTGCAGTGTGCGTGCTGCAGTGTGTGCAGTGTTGTGTGCTGCAGTGTGCAGTGTTGTGTGCTGCAGTGTGTGCAGTGTGCGTTGCAGTGTGCACAGTGTTGTGTGCATGCTGCAGTGTGCTGCAGTGTGCGTGCTGCAGTGTGTGCAGTGTTGTGTGCTGCAGTGTGCAGTGTTGTGTGCTGCAGTGTGTGCAGTGTGCGTTGCAGTGTGCACAGTGTTGTGTGCATGCTGCAGTGTGCTGCAGTGTGCGTGCTGCAGTGTGTGCAGTGTTGTGTGCTGCAGTGTGTGCAGTGTGCCCCCAGCTTGCGGGTGTGAGAGGTGAAGAGCGTGTGCTCCAGGCTGAAGGCAACCGGGTGAGGGCAACAGGCCGCGTGAAATGAGACGGGTGAGCCACGGCCAAGTGGGCCCCAGAGAGGAAGCAGCAGGATCCCGCTGGCTGCACAGCACGTTGTGTGATCGTTGGCACGCGCGTTGTTTGTGACCCGTGTGAGAGTGCGCCCACGTGGGGAAGCCCTGGACTTACCCAACAGGCAGATTTTGTGGCTTCTGGGTTGGGGTTTGGCCGAGACAAGTGTTACAGGCGCCTGTGGTACAGGGTTACGCAGACTCACCCTTTTTCGTTTCCAGTTATAGCAGAGCACCCCCAGAATAACACGAGCGCTGAGCCGTGGCTCTATGGTTATGTCTCTTCGCTACGAAATCCTGTGACTATTTTTCTTCCCATTTAAACTTTTGTAAGCTACTTAATAGTGTTCTGCAACCACGCCAAGTCTTTTGACCCACCGTGGCATGTGGGAATAATTTATACAAAGATAACGCACCATTTCTTGCTAATAAATGTGTGAGGATTTTCTTAAAAAATAAACCACAGATCTATCTCTGAAGACGTCTTTGAAAATCTGTTGACGCTCTTTAGGAAGCCGCCGTCAGATTTTGATGCAGTGAGCAGATTTCAGTTTCGATAAGGACATTACAACTCGTAAACATTATGACTAGCTCCCATTTGCGAGACTCTTTATAAATACTCTAATAGTGGCCAAATAAGCCCAACGGATTGATTTTATACGTGCTGTTGTACTGAATACTGCCGCCTTCCATCCATCTGTGATAATATTGTAAACCTGAGATTTATAACCATTTGTGTTAAGTGATAACGTGTGGCAGGATGCCCCCCACCCCGCCCCATGTACTTAACGTTAATTATTTCATTCAATTATGAGAATATTTTGCACAGGGACTGTAACATTATTATTCCAATTTTGCAGAAATGGCAACTGAGTTTTTAAGACGTTATGTAGCTTGCCCAAGGCCACAATGCTAAGGAGCTTCACCTGTGGGATTGAAGACTTTAGAATTTGAAGTCAGACCCTGATACTTTGTCTTCTGTAAATGCCATTCCCCTAGATTCTCATATTCACCGAGCTCTACTACTGAATTACTTTATTTTTTTTTTCTGAATTACTTTAAAAAAAAATTAAAAGCAGTACTTTCTTGTTTGACCGTAATGATGGGTATGGTATCTCAACAGAGGCCTTTCCACACCGCCGACAGTAGAACCCTCTGGATAGCAGAGGGGAAGCGCTGCTAATTTCGATGAAGCCGACCTGAGGCTGTGACCCTGCTACCTGAGGTCAGTATCTGAGCAGCCTGCAGTGGGAAGAGTAACAGGTGGGAACCCTGGGGGGCCAGCTTATATTATTGGAGCAGAATATCGTAGAAGGGCAGCTAACCTCTGCTAAATACACATTAAATAACTTTGAGCCCCTCATAATGAGCCCCACTGGGTTGCTCACCTCGCTCAGTCACTTCTCCCCTCCTGCCCCTGCTCTGCAGCACCCTGCGGACCGTCACGGAGCTTCCACATCTTCATGCCTCTCATCTGTAGTGTCCCCTCTGTCTGTGAGCCTTCTTCTCTTCCGTTGTTAGTCTCATCATTTGTTATGATAGCTCAAATGGCATTTTCTCGTAAGAATTGAGAGACCTCCCTGAATCATGATGCTATTATCCTTTTTTCATACTTCTTTTCTTGGGCTTTCCACCTTGCACTCTCTCCTATTGACCACTAGTGCCGTCAAGTAGGGGAAAGTATTATGGCATCTAGTGCTTGATGTTCCAGTGTGAGCTAGGCTAGTATATAATGGCAGGCCCTGTGTGAGAAGTGGAAAGACCTTTTGAGCCTCATCTCAGTTTCCTGGAGAATGGGTACATGAGAAGTTGTAGAATATAAACCAGGACACTGTGGGGAGAGGTGATTTGTCATGGGCTCTGTGTCCTGTGGGTCCCTGCTGGGTGTACCAAGGATATAAGACTATGCTGTCTCTTTGCTTGGGCCAATTTTCAGGATGTCATTTGCAGTGAAGGATGAAGAGTGAAAGCAGGTATGCTTGCCCCTCATGATAAGATAATCAAGTCTCCAAGTTTAGTATCCTCAGTCATGGCACAAATCTATTGTGTATCTGGTATTCATATGGGTCCTCTGCACCCCCTTTCTGGAGCCTGGAGGGAGGGATGGCAAGGAGAGCTGACACATGGAGCTCATGTGGCCTGCTGTGCTGTGAGTAATGAAGTTCTTTGGCTGTGACCTAGGAGTCCCATGTCTTGTGCCAATAACCATGAAACAGAAATAGCCTAACTTATTAGATCACAAGCAACTAAAATCCAAGAATTTTCACAGCTCTTGATAGATTTCAGTGAATGTATATAACTTGATTCTTTCCTAATTCCTCAACAAAATAAACCTAAGTTATCTTATTTGGCTTCCCCCACAAGCAGGCCTTAAATCAAGGATGTGAGCGCCAGTAACTTACTTATTTGCGATTAGCAAAAAACACTGTTAAGTGAATAAAGAAATGAGACAAAAAAAAAGAACAATCAACAAAGGGTAGTTACATAAAGCCAGTGGTCACTGTGGGTGATGGTGCTTAAACCCACTGGAAAAACACTGGAAGTCAGTGTAAAGCACATGCTTCAGCGTTTTCCCGTCTAAGAGAGAGGGTGATGGGATATTTATATACCAATTCCCGTCATTCACCAGTTGGAAACTACTCTTAACGGGTCTTAAGTACTTGGCATTTCCAGGATGTCAGGCATGTGGGGGGAATGGTCTCTGGATTTGGAGAACGGCATCAGGCATTGAAAAATACAGATACTGGAGTTGGCATCAACTTGTGTCCACTGAAATTATGAGGCTAAAGGAATGTGGTTGGGCAGCAAAATATCAAATAAGTGCTAAGAATGGCTCTCCTGGAACGAAGAAATCACAAGTTAGAGGAGCTCATGGTCATGAGTTTTTAGCCATCGGTGCCTACAGATAAAAGAACAGGGCATGGAAGCACAGGTTCTGTCTACTAACAGCATATTCTGCTTTGTTTCATATGCGTATTCTGAATTACTTGTATTTTTCTGACTGCCATGTTATCCTTACAGAATATCCTAGTATCGAGGGCTACTGTGTCATTGTGACCCACCACGACCTGCCCAATACATGTTTGTTGAAAGAAAAAATTGAGTGATAAAAGTGTACATGGTGAGCATCCTGAAAATGCATAGCCAAAAAGATCATTGGTTGACAAAGACTAAGTAGAGAGTTTCAAATATACTTTTTTATGGTATAAAGGTACATCATGGAGAGAACAACCTTGCATAATCCAATTTAATATGTGATTAAATTGGTTGGTTTGGCTCATACCTTTCCCTAACACGAAGAATACTGGCCAGTTGAAATGGATGCTGGGAAACTCCTGGGGCATCACGTTATCCCCAAGGAGGACAACTCACTTGTGAATAATCAGGAATTGGCTATGCAGGAAAACCTTACCATTGCCAGGCTTTCCATTCGGAAATAAACAGAAGTTACTGAATGTCTAAGGAGCAGCGGTGGAGCTAGCATGAAGAATACCTACCATATGCCGAGAAACAGGCCATACAATTCACGTGAATTCGCACTGACCTCTTCCCCCCAGCGGTTCTTAGAGGTTTCTGTTTTCCATGGTGGAGAAAACTGGGAAGTCTAAGTATACGTTTCCAGAAGCTCAGACTAAAGTTCAGGTTCGTCTGAGTAAAGTGCATGCAATTTCTACACCACCCTTGACTCTCTGTGAATCCCTAGGTCATGCTGGGTCCAAATCAAATCTTTTTGATTCCAAATCAAGCATTCCAAATCAAATATTTTCTTCTAACATACATAACACACACACACACACACACACACACACACACACACACACACGTAGTAAAATATAAGAGCCCATTTTGGTGATGTTTGACTGCGGACAACTTTCAAGTCCCAGCAGTTCCCTTTCCCCTGCGCACGTATAGGCAAGCTGTCAGAAAGTCGAGGCGCTCCCTCCTTTGGTACGCATGGAAAGTTCAGACCTTTCAAGCCCCAGCCTTTATGGAGAAACTCCCTTACTGGCTCTGCTCCTAACTCCCCGTAAACATCTCAAAGCTAGTCTCCCCTCCCCACTCTCCTGGCACATGTTTGGACCTGTTAGGCCCAATCCTGCTCTCCCTAGAAAGTCCTATTGTATAGTAATGCATTGTCAGTCTTGACATCTGAACCAAATATTGGGTAGAGGGCCCGTTTCTTTATTATGAATGTTAACAACACTTGGCACAGGGAAGAGAGAGATTGGATAATGGCCACCATCACCAGGGAGCTTCCTTTGCTTACATTGGCCCAATAATACATCGTGCTCGCTGGCCATCTTGTGTTTTGAACTGTGCTGCTTTTGTGCTGCAATTGCTAAGTCCTACCTGATGCAACCAACCTGAGTTTCAAGTTTCAATTATTAGCATTGAAAGATAGAAGTATGTGACTGGGGCTCTCTTTATATAATAATTAAAGAAAGAGAGATGATTGGCTTTGGTGTCTCTGTAGTACAGGCCCTGAAATAACTTTTAGCATCTGCTGAAATGCACCCCTTGGCAAACTTTCATGACCATAATCAATACCGGAGCTCAAATTACAGTTCGACCTGGAATCCTACTACATTTAGTCGTGGTGTTCCCCATAACCTTAGAGATTTTCCTGAATATAAAACAGAGGACAAAAAGACATGTCTTAACCATGGGTCTATTGCCTTGCCAAAATTCCCCAGAGCCATAGCGACCATTGTCCTAAAATATCCCATAGTGGGCAGAGGGGATCTTAGTCGACGAATAAAAAAATGAAAGTAATTAACTTTTCGACATTTATAAATGGCTTGACAAAATGGGAGTCCATGGTCCTTTTCCTCCCTAGTTAAAACAGTTAATACAGACCAATGTAAGTTAAAACAGGGCCTTCACAGATTGAAACCCATTATGGAAGATCTAATGAGGCAAAGGATGATTATTCCCACTGCTTCTCTATTAAACAGCCCAATTTGATCTATTCTTAAACTTGGAAAGAATGGACGGTGCCTTTTGGTGCATTCCCCCATCTTAATGCCCTGGTCCCATTCATTAAGGCTCATACCCAATATTATTAAAATATTATTCAAATTACTGTCTCCATCCAATTAGCAACTGGTAATAGATTTGGCTAATATTTTCTGATCGGTTTCTATTTCAACAGCCTCTCCAGCTGCAGTTGGTTTTCGCCTCTGAAGAGACCAATACACCATTATCTGGCTGCACAAGGAGTGCTGCAGCAGTCCCACTGTCACACGTGACCCCCGCAGGCAAGTTCTTACTTACATTCGACGCTCTCTGGCAGCACAGGTATATATGATATTGTTTGGATGACATCACTTCCCAAGGAGGCCTGCTTGACATTTTCACTCAGGCCATACAAATGCTTAACAAAAGAGCTCACAAAAAAAAGACTGAGCTGTTGTACCACAAATAGTACATGGCTGCACAATTTCAGTTAAATTCCTGAAAATGATTTGGTAAACTGAGGCCACTCTGGCACTATCAAGAAACAACTGTTGATTTGCTCATCACCCATAATTTAAAACAAGCCAAACATCTTTTAGGCCTTTTTGAATTCTGAAGGCAACATTTTCTTAAATTAGAAATTTACCTTAATAAGCCCTTTATAATGTTACTTGAAAATCAACCCACTTTGAATGGGGCATCCAGGATGGGCATATGTTTCCCATGGACTTCTAGTAAAAGAGAACAACCCCCTTGACTCCATACCATTAGAGTGGCTACTGCTGGTTGCATACTGGGCTCTCCCAGAAACACAGGTCCTCACAGGCCCTAGGCCCACAGCTCTCCATATCCACTGTTCTTACGTCTTGGGTCATAGAAGCAGCACTCCACAAGTTCAGCACAACCAGGGAGCCTTCCTTCTAGAGAATAGAGTCAAAGGTGGGTGCTAGCATATCTCATCAACAGGATGACTGCTGCGTCCATCCTCTAATGTATTGCCAAGTGTCACAGTTCTAGAGGAGGACACCTCTGTCCTGAATGCCCTGGCCACTTGGGTGATCCCTTGTGTACATCTGTGTGAACAGAAAAGGAAATTCATGGTTTTGGACAGCAATAGCACATCACATACAATGGAGCTCACTGGGAGGTTGTGCCTCACTATTCCTTTCCTGGAATGTCCCTGATCAAGGATAGGATCCCCAAAGATCAGCATGACTGGTTGTACATTAGGCAGCCATCTTAACATTGGATACCTTGGCCAACAAGTGGCCCCATCTGCCATTTACAAACTCTTGGTCATTGCCAATGGTTTGACCATCTGGCCTGGCAAGGGCAATAACAACAATTGTTTATCCAAAGTTAACCTCTTTTAACATGAGAACTCTGGTGATCTCTTGCTTCATGGATATGCAAAAATTAAGTCAGGATCACACAGTTCCTGCATATATTAAAGACACAATAAAAGGCACCACCAAAATACTCCTTACCCCTGTCTGAGTTCCAGACTCTATTACTGATAATGACCAAAGCACTTATTTCACTTCCAAAGCTGCATAATCCTGGACTCTTGAGCAACACATTCAATGGAACATTCATTTTCCTTACCAGCCTCAGGCTGTGGAGCCTCAGGACTCCTAGAGGATGCTGATGGCTTATTTAAATAAGTTCAAACTCAGTTCACTGAAATATTGCACACTTCAGCCATCAGTCAAATATCAGAGGTGAATTGTAATAGAGTCAGATTCAATTTTCGGTGTTTGTTTGACAGCTGACAAATTTCAATCCCCACCACTCTTTTTCTCCCTCTGCTTTATATCTGGGCAAGCTAGTGGGAATTCCAAACCACACAAGCCACATCCTGTGTGAAAGAATACTCACCCTCCTATCTACCAGAAAAACCCTACAGACAATCTTTGTTCTCTGCTTTTTCAAGGTATTCTTGGACCTGCTTTGGGAGCACATTCTAGTTTATCCCAAGAAAGCCTCATTATGTCAGTAATAAACCATTTCATACTCTCCTGGTGTATCTGTGGCATCATCAATCTTGATATCTAAACTAGATTTTGAGTTTGGGAGTATTAATTTCACCTCTGTCAGGTGACCACCCAAAAGCATTTCAGTTATTTTGGTACAGGACACCTGCATAATAATGACTCTTGGCATTATGATATAGTTCAGTTGTGTTACCATTACCCAAGAACCTTAAATCTTTTCTGAAAATGTACCTTTTCTTTTCCCTTTTTTAAAGATTCTATTTATTTATTTGAGAGAGAGAGAAAGATAGCATAAGCTAGGAAAGGGACAGAGGGAGAAGCAGGCTCCCCACTGAGCAGAGAGCCAGATGTGGGCCTCCATCCCAGGATCCTGAGATCATGACCTGAACTGAAAGCAGACTCTTAACCAATTGAGCCATCCAGGTGCCCCTGAAAGTGTACCTTTTCATATAAAGTATATAAAATACAAAATTCTAACAAAAACTTTTCTTACAAATAAAATATGATCTTTATGATATGTCTGGCTAAGCCTTACCAAAGAAGAAGAAAAGGTTTTCCTTTTTCTTCACTTCCTGTGTATATTATACAAAATTTAAGTCCCCAAACATTTATAAATGCCCATCTAAGTCAAAACAGCAATGTTCTAACTGGTTCTGCATTCAGTAAAAAAAAAAAATCTTCAGTGGTTTATGTGCCAAGGCGAAATTGCCATTCCATGCTGTATTTAGTATGTATTTCATGGAAATTTTTTCCAGGATTTATACTTCCTGAATATTTACATTTAACTAACTTGAATATACTTTAGAAAAGTTATCCAGTATTCAAAAAAATTAAATTTGTTCTTCACTTATTTTTATAAACCTTTGTTAATTTTGTTGAGGAATAAATCCTACTCAGTTGTCTTTGTGAACAGTGACGCTTGTGAGAGGGTTGAGACAGGAACATTTTGACGAAGGCATGTCTGATGGTGAGATACCTGTAAGGATGAAATTCTGGTTGTGAGTGTTAAAGAGTCACTAGAATTCAGGAGCTATGTTTATGCATAGTACCCTAAGTCAAGGAGCCTTAGTTTAGAAAAAAATACAAATTGCAAGGGGTTAGGGTTGTCTTTCAGAAAAGAGTTTCAATCATTAAAAAGAAACTTGAAGTTGAAAAGAAATTAAAATGGTAGAAAGAGCAGCAGGATTAGTAGGTGAGATCATCAAATACAAAAAGAACTGGGTTCATATGTCCAGGAAAACTGTTACAGGGAACCAGCCCTGCATCAAGCGAGTATCTGCTGAAGTTTCTCTTTCATACAGGGCCTCGCTGGTGTCACACCCATGCTGGTGACACATGGAGATGTGTTGTTGGCCATTGAAGACAGGCAGAGTGAGCAGCAACTCTTCAAAATAAATCCATCTCCTTCGTTTCCTGAGACCGACTTTTGTGTTTAGATTCCCTTTGGTTTTGGGTAAAATCAGTTCGTACTGTAGCGGAGTCTGCTTTAGTAAAAATCATCATTGATTTTCTCTTTCTACATCTCCCAACTTTCCTCAACAGAGTTGGGCATTTTGTATGAACCTCAATTTCAAAAACACACACCTACACACACACACACACACACACTCAGACATGCTCCATGGGAATAATTTCCATAAATGTCTATTGCTCCCATTGAGTTATAGCCTTTGTGAAGTTAGGAACTAGATTATATTCGTCTCTGGATTCTTTACCTCTGGCATATAATTTGATATAGGAGAGCCTCAGTGTGGTGCTGCCTTATTCAAAAGGCAAGCAGACTTATCTGAGACTATTGAACAGCTGTTACTAAGACCTCACTCATAGCCCTTGACAGAGCTCTCGCCTCTGTTGGTGGCACTATCTCACTGTAACTGGATGCTCGGAGCTTTTTGTCACATTTTCTTACATATGATTTTATGTCATAATTAATCGCTGAATGGTGAGCCCCTGTTATTCTGGACAACATTGCACAAGGTCATGCTTGCATCTCATACAATGTATTGTGCAGAGATTCGTTCAATAACTGTTTCACTTAATATTGCTTTGGCATATATTTTTAATACTATGAATTTACTGGTAACTATGTGAGATAAAATTACTAAACACTGTTCACTTAGGGAATGCAATGTTCTCTTGTACGTAGTAGACATTCAGCAAGTATTTTTTGAATGAAAGGATAAATAGGTTTGTGGGTCTAGCAGAATGTCGGAATATTTATGGTTTAAAGTAGAGAAGTTGACCATGAAAGCAGAAGCTAATTATACGGCTCACCCCTTGCAATCTTTCTCCTCGTATAGTCAGGAAGGGTCAATTCCCTGATGTCAAACTTTTCTTGTCAAGAGTTACCCACTAGCTTCTCAGGATCCGGAGGAAATATGTAAAGCTGGCTCAGCGATTGCCGTAGAGACCTTTTTCCCTGCTTACTTGGAGGCAGACAGAAAGTGTCTCCTGTTCTGTGCACGCCCCTGACCTGAGAAGAATCCTCAGTTTGTTTGTTTTTTTAATCTGTTCAACTTCCTTCGAGACGTAACGCAGCTCTAATAGAGCCTGTACCGTGCCCTGCAATGGTGCGCTGGCTCCTCATTCTAAACTACCTCTCATAATTTTGGCATTTCTGGATGCCTGTGAAACTGGAAATTCAAGGAAACGTGAGCCATAATGAACCCTGTGTACCGCACTTGCATAAGGCCCAATGGCACCTAGAGGCTCTTCTCCTGGCCTAGAGTCTCTAGGCTGATGGGCTACTAATCTATTTCCACCCTCCCATAAACCCTGATAGCATCTTACCATTAACCCAAGGGCTGCCTTTGAAATGTGCCTGGTTCCTAGAGGCAGGTCAAGGCCTTGCACGCATAGTACTGACACGGCACAGGCTCAGCATGGCAGAGAGGATGTCCTTTCCGCCTAGACCACTGTTTCCTGATGGAGATTGAAAATCTCTCTCATTATATTTTGAAGACAAAGATTTACTGAGTGTAATATATAAACCAAGGGACAGACAGATGGGGACTCCTATTGCATTGGGTGGCCTGAGATCTTTTTTTTTTTTTTCTAAATTTTTTTAATAGGAATGTTTGTCAACACAACCTTCAGTTTAAGCGTATAAAGAAGCCGTTCTGGACATATGGAACAGCAAAGAAGATGATAGAAAAGGAAATATAAACTGAGATGGTTTCCAGAAATGTGTGAACAGCCAAGAAAGGACAGAACCACAGCAGCAGGAAAACCCTAATGTAATAGTTAAAACCCAATGTAAACCACAATAAATACGCTGCCCTCCAGATTTCAGTTAGGCAACAGGCCCTTTGATACTTAGATAAAATTAGCTCAAGCCTTTATCCCACGTCCCGTGGGAGTCCTGTCCCGTATATCCCGGAATTAAAATTCCCGAGGCCACTTCTGACAGGCGTTTTCTCTTCTGCGAAACTCAGCTTCTCCACGAGGCTTGGTTTTTGAGGCGCTGTCGGCCGAAGCCTCGGGTCTGCGAGCGGCGCCTGGAAGCTGCTGGGCGCAGGGGTGCGGGGTGCAGGCCGCTGCCCCCCCCGCCCCCCACCCCCACCCCACCCCACCCCACTCCGCGTCCCGCCCTCTGTGAGCTCACAAATCCTCCCCAGGGACCCGAGGGCCGGCACAGGGATGGGGAGGGGCTTGAAAAGACGACAGCTCTGCATCACAAGCTCCCTTCGAAGAGGAGCCCCCCCAGACCCCCGGGGCAGCGGGGAGCAGGGCGGCGGGGCTGGGCGCCAGGGCCCAGCTTAGTCCCGCGCAGGCCTGGGCCGGCGGTTGTGAGTTCAGGCCCCGCGCGGCCCCACGTGGAGGTGCGGCGCCCCAGACAAGCCACGGCCAGGCGAGGGGTCCCCGAGCAGAGGGCGCGGCCCCGGCAACGCGGGACTTCAGCACGGCGACCTCAGTTTTGGATTTCGGGCTTCCAGAATCGTGAGGCAATCCGTTCCTGTCGCGTTATGCCACCAAGTAGGAGGTAATTTGCTGCAGCTGCCACCGGGGCCTAGTGCTCACCCTTCCCCTCCTCCGCACACCTGTGTTCCCTGCTCTTTGCCCCCACCGTCCGGGGCTCCTCCTGCAGGGCAGTCGGCTGCCCCCGGGGAGCCCTGGGTCCCAGGATCCCCACCCTGAGGGGGGATTCCCACCTTGGGTCCAGGATCCCCAACTTGGTCCGGTCCCCCTGAGGATCCCCACCCTGGGTCCCAGGATCCCCACCCTGGGCCCCACCTTGGGTCCGGGATCCCCAACCTGGGTCCCGGATCCCCAACCTGGGTCCCAGGATCCTCACCCTGGGTCTCAGGATCCCCACCCTGGGTCCCAGGATTCCCCCCTTGGGTCCACCCCGGCTGCATGGGAGCAGGGGGCAGGCGGGATGGTCCGGCCGGGCCGCATAAGAATGTGGCCAGCGCTTGCACTCACCGCTTTGGGAAGCGTGGGCTCCGCGGGCGCAGCAGGGCTCTCCTGCCTACGCAGCCCCACCTCCGTGGGCCGGGGCAGGGGCGGTGCAAGGGGCCTGAGGAAGCGGAGGCTTTCCTTGTAGTCACAGCAACGCAGGGACTGGGAAGCAGGGCCATGATTCCCCACCCCCCCACCCCCCACCACGGAAATAAACCTTGGAAAATGCTTTGAAGGGTCGGACCAAACAAGTACCCACGAGACACTGAAAGACAAAGTCGGAGGCAGAGGAGACGCACACTCGTCAGCTTTGATGGGGACGGGACGCTGATGCTACAGCGCCACGATCCCTCCACCCGAGGAGAGACGCGCCGCAAGCTGGCCTGACTCGGTACCCTAGCGCCAGGCCAGGCATGATGTTGGCGGATTGGTTGAATTATTTGTATATTTTGGGGACATTTAGCATATCGTGGAGGCTCTCAGAAGCAGCAGAGACACCTGTGAAACACTGAGACATCGCCTAGACCCAAGTCAGACTCTGTCGGAGACAACTGACAATTGGTATTTACAAGAAACTAAATTGGAGAAACGCTAATCTTCAGAAGGTCACGAAAATATCCCTGTTTTGTTCCATATCTCAGCTTAAGACGCCTGATATCTACCCCAGCTAGACCTAGGGGAAGTGGATTGCTGTTTCTCTCCGCAGGGAACAAATAGCACTTAAGATAGGTATCTCTGGTTTAATTGGCCTGGATTCCTATCCATGTGGCAGAAAAAAGAAGTTGGAGATTATTTTTTAAGCCGTGGTGAGAGACAAGGCAACATCATTTGTGTAGAGCTGAACTGCCTAAATTTAAGCGGCAAAGTGTACCAGTAGGATCAGATCTTAAAAAACTGGAAAGATATAGATCCCAAAAAGCTTTTGCTCTTGATTTTTTTTTTTCTTTTTCCTTTCAAAAGCCTCAGACCAAGGAACAGGGCCTTGAGTTCTCGGGATGAATCTGAGACTCCTGGGCCGTAGGATGGGTGGTCACCTCCAAGGTAACTAGGCCTGGGAGGGCACAGGGGCAAAGAAGCAGGTTGTCACCTCTGAGTCGGTGGGTTGTTTTACAGACTAAAACTGCATAACATAACCCAGTTTTTCTGACCTCAGAAAAAAAATAGGTTGTCTCATTCAGTATAATTCTTTTTCTCTGATTCAGGTAATTTTAAAAGGACAAATTGTTGGTTAATATCCTTTTCCTGAATAGGGTATTTGCTTTAAGGATGATCAACATTAAGTGTTGGTAGAAACAAAAGCACTCAGAGTTTATTTTCGGGCTCATCATATTAAAACAGATTTGTTTTTATTTTTAAAAGAAGAACTTTTATGTGGCATATGTACTCAGAATTTTAATGTCTACTAATTTTCACAGTTATGTGAAACCCATGCACAAGGCAGTAACATTTATTAACTGGTAAACGGCACTTCTGTAACTTGTGGATGTTTTGCAAACTGCTCTGTTTGCGGAAGGACGGGCTTTCGGGTCCCTAGGAATCATCATCCAAATGATCTTTCTCGTCATGGCTTCTGAGGAATGAAAATCATCTTAAATTGAGGGGATTCATTAACTTTCACAAGGTAAACAGACTGTCCCCCTTGGGTGGGGAGACGTCAATGACCTCGGAAGCCTGAGTCTCCTTCCCTCAGGGACCCGGGCTTAGCTCCAGCAGGTGTCGCCACAGCAGACGGTGGGCCGGGCACCAAGGTGCCTTGCTGGCAGCCTGTCGCGGGGGAGGCTCCAGGAAGTCAGGGTCCCCCGCCGGGAGAGGACGCGCAGGCAGCCGGCCTGCAGGACGCTCTGCGGCCGCAGCTCCCCCGCCCTGGGCCGCGGTGTGACGACCACGTCTGGCCTCTGGTCCCGGTGAGTCCACGAAGCCAGCAGACCCTGCGGCCCTGGGAGGGAGCGCTCAGAGAAGGGCCCCGCCTGACACGGGACGGTCCTCGCGGCCTGCAGGACGCTCTGCGTCCGCAGCTCCCCCGCCCTGGGCCGCGGTGTGACGACCATGTCCCGCCTCTGGTCCCGGTGAGTCCACGAAGCCAGCAGACCCTGCGGCCCTGGGAGGGAGCGCTCAGAGAAGGGCCCCGCCTGACACGGGACGGTCCTCGTGGCCTGCAGGACGCTCTGCGTCCGCAGCTCCCCCACCCTGGGCCGCGGTGTGACGACCATGTCCCGCCTCTGGTCCCGGTGAGTCCACGAAGCCAGCAGACCCTGCGGCCCTGGGAGGGTCCACTCGGAGAAGGGCCCCACCTGACACGGGACGGTCCTCGCGGCCTGCAGGACGCTCTGCGGCCGCAGCTCCCCCGCCCTGGGCCGCGGTGTGGCTCCGCATCCGGCCTCTGGTCCCGGTGAGTCCACGAAGCCGACAGACGCCGCGGCCCTGGGAGGGAGCACTTGGAGAAGGGCCCCGCCTGACACGGGGACGGGAACTCGAGGCCTGGTGGGGGCCGTGTGGACGCTTCCAGCACAGGAACATCAGCCGACGGCCTGCAGTCACCGCTCAGCAGGAGGAGAGCGCAGAAACTTTGTTTTCTTCTTCCACCTTAAAAATCATAGTAGGGATCCCTGGGTGGCGCAGCGGTTTGGCGCCTGCCTTTGGCCCAGGGCGCGATCCTGGAGACCCGGGATCGAATCCCGCGTCGGGCTCCCGATGCATGGAGCCTGCTTCTCCCTCTCTCTGCCTCTTTCTCTCTGTGACTATCATAAATAAATAAATAAAAATTAAAAAAAAAGAAATTTAAAAAAAAATCATAGTAAAGAACTTTTTAAAAATAATTTACTGGGGTCAAAATAAAAAGATAAGGAAAAATTAAAAATCATAAAGATGGCAAGTTGATACTTCAGTTTCTCCTGAGAATAAATTAATATGAATCTGTAGAGAAATAATAATGTAATTAATTGGTTTAAAAGCATCAGACTCCTTCTTTTACACAATGTATGCTCAATGCTAGAAAATAAAAGCAAACAGCCTTGGATTTTATTAGTAATTATTCTGATGACATTTATTAAGTGAAGCGTCCCCTGGCATTTATGTGCACATCTTGTAGCCATTTCTTGCTTGGTTATACCTTGGATTCTAACAGTATCTACTGATTAAAATAGTGTGTATGGTACTGGATTTTTCACCATCATAGTAGTAACACCAAACTAACCACGCATGGCCGAGATAATTATTCAGAGTATTTGGTATGCCAAGTCTCCCTTTAAAAAATTAAAGTCATTTTTAGTTTGACAATGTATTCAGTTAACACTTTTTTTTTCCTTTAAATGAATTCAGTGCCTCATAAAAGTGCAGGATTGACAGACTTTTGGAAAGAAGGCTTTTGTTTATCCCTCAAATGAGGACAGAATGGGCAGCAGCAGGGGAAGCTTCCACTTTTAGGCAGGTGGAACTCTCAAAAAAGAAAATTCACACTCCTGTCAATACCATTTAAAGTTCTCACTTACACCAGTTTCACATGAGATAAAGCATTTTGTGGTTGTGACTCACATATCACCCCCCTTCCCGCGCACTTGACTGAAGTTTTCCAGCCAATTTTGGAATTAATATAAATCTGCCCATGTCACCGGCTCAGGGTAAGCACCTGCAGCACTAATACCACCGTTTCTAAACTCCAAGAACTCATCTTTTTTTTTTTTTTTTTTTTTTTTTATCTGTGGAATTCATCCTTAGTCTTACTGGAAATGGATTAAAATAAACTGGACCTAGGAGGGTCAATAGGAATCTGGCTTATTTCATTTATTATGTGTGGACATAACAAATATTTGTTTAATTCAATGAAAATATTTAGCCTTCAACTTAAAGACTCTTTTCAGTTGAAATTCCCCTGTTCGAGGTAGGGAACACTTCCTTCTAACTTTAGGTTTGGCCTCACTAGGGCAAAAAAAATCTCCCTGAGATTCTGATGTTGAGATTTTTTTTTAAATTAAAATATTAACT